CCCCTGCTCAGGAGTCAACTTCACGAAGCGCACATAAAACATCACAGCAGGAAGTCGGCCGGGCAAATGATCAACAGTATCGATGTCCTGACATTTCAAACAGTATTCAAGTTGGATTTTTTTTTTGGGGGGGGGGGGGGGGGGGGTGTTGTTTAACGCCGCGCTCAGCAATATTCCAGATATATGACGGCGGTCTGTAAAAAATCGAGTCTGGACCAGACAATCCACTGATTAATATCATGGGCATAGACCCACGCAATTGGGATCGATGACATGCATCATCCAAGTCAGCGAGCCTGACCCCTCGATCCCGTTAGTCGCCTTTTACGACAAGCATAGTCACCTTTTACGGCAAGCATGGGTTGCTGAAGACCTTATCTACCCCGGAATCTTCACGGGATTTCAAGTTGGATCCCAATGTGGCTTTCATTGTATTCCTTTAAAGTTTATATCTTGGAACATTGATGGTCTTACTAATAAGTTACAGGATAAAGATGCACTGGATTGTTTAGTTCAAATTGACCTCATCTGTCTGTGTGAGACTTTTGCTGATGTTTGTAAGGACCGTGAGTGTCACTTTAGTGCGGAGTGTTATTGTCAGTTTAGTGTGGAGCATCAGTATCAGTTTAGTGCGGAGCGTCAGTATCAGTTTAGTGCGGAGTTTCATTGTCAGTTTAGTGCGGAATTTCATTGTCAGTTTAGTGCGGAGCGTCAGAATCAGTTCAGTGCGGAATTCAAAAACAGTTTGGCGCGGAGCGTCAGTATTTGTTTAGTGCGGAGCGTCTCCAGCTCTATCGGCTTGCAAACCGGCAACACGCACATACAAGCACGCACGCACGAACGCACAGGCGGACGTCGCTGTATGATTGAAATGATCTTGAACGCGACCTGAAGCCCTATTTCAGTTTCCACCCTTGCCAAACTAGGCAGGAATTATGGAGTTACATTTTGGCTGGACTATGCATAGTCCAATCAAAATCGCTCACCGAAATCGAAGTCCGGTTCGTAAAGTGTCATGCAGATTTGGGTCGACTGCAGGATTTGCAAAGCATGTGCACCGCTAACTCGTTGTCAACAGATATTTTCAAAATCTTTTCATGTTTTTAATCAAGGTGATCACGTGATTTGATGTACTTCGCGATGTAAGACTCGTTTTATCACAATATAGATCTTGATTATCAATCAGATCGTCTTTACTGGGCGCCACCGTTTTGTTTGAAGGAAATGCAAGTGATACGAGAGGTTGAATCTGATTGGTCAATAGGAGAGGCATAGAAAGGACATAACTCGTAATAGCCACTGGTGGCGCTACGCTCGAGCCCAGGAGTTCCAGTCTAGTTCGGCAAGGGTTGAAACTGGACTTTTAAAGTCAGTTAACTCTCTTGCCTCGGGAAGATGGATGGCACCAGTGCCCCATACCTCAAGAGAAGAAATGCAGTCAGTCATGTCACAATCATCAGCTACTTCATCTGAGAACATCCACCAACATCCCACAACACTGACGCAGGTACATCTCCCCAAATACACTGAATAGAAGGATGCTGAATGAGTGAGTGAGTTAAAAGTTAAAGTTTCAGCCGTATCGTGACTTTTAAAGGTCATATACAATAAATACATGTAAACTATAAAAACCTGCCAACAACGGACGGTAAAATAACAAGACTCATCACAGATTATGATTCAAAACTCGTCTGGACCCATAAAAATACATCACCTGACAGAACAATACCTTATAAAAAAAGCTATAGACCGCCAGCAGCTGAAGGTAGATCACCGTAAAAGGCGACTAACGGGATCGGTTGGTCAGGCTCGCTGACTTGGTTGATGCATGTCATCGTATCCCAATTGCGTGGATCTATGCTCATGATATCAATCACTGGATTGTCTGGTCTAGACTCGATTATTTACAGACCGACGTCATATAGATTGAATATTGCTTAGTGCGGCGTTTAACAACAAACCAACCAACCAACCAACATTGCTTTGGTAAGACAGCGATTCCAGCGATAGAAGTTCTGAAGTTCGGGAAGGAATGCCAGAGATGTTTTAACCCAAATTCAGCAACTACTACTAGATCTCCGTCAGTGAATATCGTATGCATTGGAATTAATTGCTTTGAACTATTAGAATGTTCTTGCAAATACTGATCACTTCCCCGTAAAAGGCGACTATGCTTGTCGTAACAGGCGACTATAGGGATCGGGTGGTCAGGCTCGCTGACTTGGTTGATGCATGTCATCATGTCCCAATTGCGTGGATCGATTCATTGGATTGTCTGGTCCAGATTCGATTATTTTCAGACCGCCGTCATATAGCTGGAATATTGCTTAAATGTCTGAGACCTGCATCACTTCGGGCTTTCCTCCCACATTAAGCTGACACGCCGCGATATAACTGGAATACTGTTAAAAGCGGAGTTAAACCCGACTCACTTACTCACTCTAAAGTATTCACATGTTTTTAACTGGAAACAGCGGGTAGTGTGAAACAGTGACATTTTCATGGCATTTTAATATCTTAGTTGGTTTGTTTGTCTAGAACTATTTTACAATTATTGGATATTAAAAGGTGTCAGACATTATAGTTTAAAAGTAAAATAAGAAAAATAACATATAAGTTTTAAATACTTATTAAAAAAAATTGAAGGTTGGTGGCAGTATTCTAAGGTTTGTGGTTTTAAGCGTATTTCAATTAAACTGACGTCCAAAAGAAACTTTACCAACTGAAAATTTAAATTTCAGACAAAGTATATTTTTTTCAAGATGAAGTCTATCTAAAACACATAACCTAAATACAGCAATAGTGTTTGCAGAAAATGTTAATCGTCTGTTACATGTTTGCGAGATAACACGCGAAAAAGTGAAAAACACGTGCACCACGGACAACTGCAAATGCACGCGCGGCTAAGGGTATAAACGATTGCAACGGCAAGTCAAACATCCACAGTGATAAACAAAACACACAAAAAATGCCACGACTCACAGTCGAACAACGTGAACGAGCCTTGGGTATGGTACAGATGGGAGCCACCCACGCCCATATTACACAAACCTTCGGTTGCTCCCGTGTTGCCGTTACCAACTTGATGCAACGTTACAGACAGACAGGACGGACCGCTGACAGGCCAAGAACAGGCAGACCCAGACCCAGACCAGGCGTTCCTTGCACCTCCAAAATCGCTTCCTGACAGTGACGTCATCGGCGACAAATGCCTTAGGTCACAGGGTTAGTGGACAGACAGTGGCCAGGAGACTCAGGGCTCATTGAATCAGGGCTTTTAGACCATACAGATGACAGCTATTAATTGACAGCGCAACATCGTCGTCTGCGATTGAGATGGTCCCGGACTGTACGACGTTGGCAATGACGTGACTGGCAGAGGGTTGTCTTTAATGACGAAAGTCGATTCTGCTCACCCGACATGTCCCCCATAGAACACCTCCAGGACTTGATGGATCGCCGTGTTCGACAACGACCACACTCTCCAGCCAACCGGCAAGAACTGATCTTGGCCCTCCAAGAAGAATGGCCTCAAATCCCATGTGACCTCATCAGACGACTGACTTTTTCTGTGCGTCGAAGAGTTTTTGCGTGTATTGAGGCATTTGGTGGTCACACAAGCTACCAATGACTTGTTATTGAACGTGAGCGATTGTTTATGTACTCTGCCTATTGTCCATGATTCTGAAAGCTCGAGTTTTGTACCACACCCAACTTTGGGGGGCTCTGACGTCATTCTCGGTCGCGGTATGATTGTCATTTTCAGTGTTGATTATGTTGATATATTGATCTTCTCAATACACTTTACTTCATGCATGTATGTTTTGTTGTTTCGGAGCAAGAGTGATTTCAAACTCTGGTAAAGTTTCTTTTGGACGTCAGTTTGTATTCGCATTTGGTTATTTTTGTCGAGGATCTGCATTTCAATCATCTGAATAGTTGTCTTGTCATCGCATTGGTTAAGTATAATGGTGGATAAAGAGTCTTGTCTCATTCTGAAACCAGGATGAAACTAGTTTATCACCTGAGCCAAATTCTTAGCTACTCATTGGCATATTTCAAAACTAAGACAGCCCCTACCACCATCACCACCCCTGCACCAATCTGACAACCTTAGTCACAGCACAACACAAACTGGAAAAACAACTGGAAAAATACTAGTCTGGATTTGCTAGTATTATCTCAGTGCTCAATACAAAATGAACTTTACAGGAGGTAATTTGTAGGCACTTTCAACATTCAAAAATAAAACTAGGTCCAAATTGACATTGCAGAAACAGGCTATAGGCATTATGCAAATTAGCCTGGAAAATTGTTATCAAAACAACAATAAAAATAACAGCTATGTTTATGTACATAATAATAATTACATGTAAGTTGTTGTTTGAGAAGGGAATATGTTACTTTTACGTTCTGATATTTTGACGATAATTCACTATCCCACAATGCCACTCACAAATCACTAACCACTGACAAATCACATGCACGTGGGTTTCAAGCACCTGTTTTCACCTGTCTTCGAGGTGTCATAGGTCATGGACATTCACCTTGATCTACCAACACCTGGTTATGCTCAGTTTCACACTAGTCTGTTTTGTTCATATTTTTACACACTTTTACGTGTAAAAAGACATAAAAACCTTTGATACGCTGTATTTGTGTCAAGACCAAATTAGTACTAATTGTGTTGTTTGAATATTTATATATTTTGTATATTAACTGCATTTATTTAAAATCTGAGATCGAAAAAACAGTTTTTTTAATTTCCTTGAGAACTTAAGTACAAGCAGCCACACAAACACACACACGTACATGCACGTCGCTATATAAGTGCAATAACCTTGGACGCGACGTTAAACCCAATTTCACCTCACCTCACCATTTATGGACAAAGGGCACAAAGGAGGATCTGTTGAAATCCTGACAACACCTGAAGAAAGACAATCCATGTCAAGGCTTTCACATTATCTGACTTCTTATCACTTTGAAGATCAGTTAAAAAAGAGACCTATATATACCGAGCCAGACTGCCGAACTACAAAGCACAATGTGGGCGCAATATGGGATTGTCTCAGGTAAAGTGCGTCAATCCATGTCAGATTGAGCATATATTTTTCTTGTTTGTTTTGTGTACAATCTGAAATCTGTTTCATTGGAATATGATAAATTGTTTTCTTTTTAAAGAGTTAAAAGAAAGAGTTTGATGAGTTAGTATGAATATTATATGCTGAAATTAATAGACCCGTGAAGATTCCGGGGTAGAATAGGTCTTCAGCAACCCATGCTTGCCGTAAAAGGTGACTCTGCTTGTCGTAAAAGGCGACTAACGGGATCGGGTGGTCAGGCTCGCTGACTTGGTTGATGCATGTCATCGATTCCAATTGCGTGGATCGATGCTCATGATATTAATCACTGGATTGTCTGGTCCAGACTCGATTATTTACAGACAGTCGTCATTAAGCTGGAATATTGCTGAGTGCGACGTTAAACAATAAACAAAAAAACAAAAACACTGATCAATGAGTGTAATCAGAGCATCGTGTTCCTTCAGGCGACTTGTTGTTAAGAGATAAAATACACATCTTTGAAAACATGTATCATTGCATTTGGTCAGCTCTGCTGGTTCTGTCGGCGAGCGCGGAGTTCACGGATCCCCACTGCAATGGGAAGCAGGTCATCGTGCACCTGTTTGAGTGGAGGTGGCCAGACATCGCCTTGGAATGTGAAAGATACCTGTCTAAGAAAGGGTACTGTGCTGTCCAGGTAACTGCAACTTCAAAATGACACATTAGAAAGCGACTGTTAATTTATTGCAAAGTGACGATGTCTGTGGGACTGGTACTAGGCCTGTATCTCCACCTATAATAACTGACCTGTCCCTAATCATAGCAAGCCTATTGCTATTGCTCTTATCAACATGTCATATAGAGCCCGTGAACATCCGGGGTAAAATAGGTCTTCAGCAACCCATGCTTGCCGTAAAAGGCGACTATGCCTGTCGTAAAAGGCGACTAACGGGATCGGGTGGTCAGGCTCGCTGACTTGGTTGATGCATGTCATCGATTCCAATTGCGTGGATCGATGTTCGTGATGTAAATCACTGGATTGTCTGGTCCAGACTCGATCATTTACAGACCGCCGTCATATAGCTGGAGTATTGCTGAGTGCAGCGTTAAACAACAAACCAAACCAAACCATATACAAGTTTAGGAGGACACAAACAGCTTGATTCTGTACTAGGGTGTACCAACGGGCAAGTTGTGCGTGCGTTAAAGACATCGAGAACGTTGGTTGTGATTTTATACATATTCCTATATACAAGGGGTCTTGTATGGTTATTTGAATGAAAAGATACCACCAAGTCGATGGATGGCTTGCAGAATATACAATTATAGCTAAAATGGATGGAATTATCATTAAACCGCCCGCATGTTATTAGAAATGAGCGGGCCACTGTAACTTGATAATGCCCTCATATTGCATGACGACGGGCCATTATCACGCCCGTTGTTAGTTGACGTCATGGTATAGGGATAGGTGACGTCACTTTCAATAGAGCGTTTTTTCTCTGACGTTTTTGTAAAAGTGGGTCAGTGACATTCGTGTTGATTGCAGTAAATGTTTCCAAGCCGATATTGTTGTTTCTTTTGTCTTATAGCAAATTCCATCCATTTTAGCTATAATAACGGTAACACTAGTTTTCAGGGCATTATCATTTGCAGAAGCCCTCGGTCTTTTCAACCGCCCTCTTTCGTCGGGCAGTAAACTGTTAATTGAAGATCTCGGGATTCTGCAAATGATAATGCCCTGAAAAATAGCGTTACCCTTATAGTATTTACTTTTATACAGATTATATATATAATCAGAAATGGGCTTCACACATTGTACCCATTACGGGAATCGAACCCGGGTCTTCGGCGTGATTAACGAACGCTTTAACTACTGGGCTACCCGACCTCCCCGTATACACTTTAGAGGTCCAGACTATTTGGACAGGAACAGTCTTCCTTGTCAAAGATTATGTTGACAGTATCGCCAAGGATCCCAGACACAAGGATTCGTCACTACATTTTCAAGAGGATACCTGCGGCATGGTATCTCAGTGAGCTGGCACTATAAAATATATAAATCGGCATCAGTCCGGACTAGTACAAGCAGCCACGCAAACACGTGCATGCACGTCGCTATATAAGTGCAATAATCTTGGACGCGACGTTAAACCCAATTACACCTCACCTCAAGAGGATACGAAACGAAAGAAAGGATATCGGGGAAACTCTAATTTGAAACATGAATTTCATGAAGCTTTAGGTTTGACCTCAGGACAGGCATACCGTGTTGATACACCGACGGAGCTTCTAAAAGTGGTAGCTTGATTGTTATGAATAAAATGCCGGAGAAAATTCCTTCGGCACCGAAATGGTAATGGACTACAGTAGTGACCAGGGAAATGTTATCTTGTTATGTTCTCACCAACATATGTCTCATAAAGTAAATCATCTGCCAAGCCACATTGTATATACAAGACACCTGTTGTACATACAAGACACCTGTTGTACATACAAGACACCTGTTGTACATACAAGACACGACACCTGTTGTACATACAAGACACCTGTTGTACATACAAGACACCTGTTGTACATACAAGACCCCTTTTGTACATACAAGACACCTGTTTTACATACAAGACACCTGTTGTACATACAAGACACCTGTTGTACATACAAGACACCTGTTGTACAAACAAGACACCTGTTGTACATACAAGACCCCTTTTGTACATACAAGACACCTGTTGTACATACAAGACACCTGTTTTACATACAAGACACCTGTTGTACATACAAGACACCTGTTGTACATACAAGACACCTGTTGTACAAACAAGGCACCTGTTGTACATACAAGACCCCTTTTGTACATACAAGACATCTGTTGTACATACAAGACACCTGTTTTACATACAAGACACCTGTTGTACATACAAGACACCTGTTGTACATACAAGACACCTGTTTTACATACAAGACACCTGTTGTACATACAAGACACCTGTTGTACATACAAGACACCTGTTGTACATACAAGATACCTGTTGTACATACAAGACACCTGTTGTACACACAAGACACCTTTTGTACATACAAGACACCTGTTGTACATACAAGACACCTGTTCTACATACAAGACACCTGTTGTACATACAAGACACCTGTTTTACATACAAGACACCTGTTGTACATACAAGACCCCTTTTGTACATACAAGACACCTGTTGTACATACAAGACACCTGTTGTACATACAAGACACCTGTTTTACATACAAGACACCTGTTGTACACACAAGACACCTTTTGTACATACAAGACACCTGTTGTACATACAAGACACATGTTGTACATACAAGACACCTTTTGTACATACAAGACACCTGTTGTACATACAAGACACCTGTTGTATAAACAAGACACCTTTTGTACATACAAGACACCTATTGTATATACAAGACACCTATTGTACATACAAGACACCTATTGTATATACAAGACACCTTTTGTACATACAAGGTATCCCCACCCAACGAGCATGTGGTGGTGACGAAGGACTACCCCCGTCCTTGGTGGGAGGTGTACCAGCCGGTCAGTTACAAACTCACCAGCAGGTGCGGTAATGAGGATCAGTTCAAGGACATGGTTTCCAGGTGCAAGAAAGTTGGGGTCAGGTAGGTCGTACAAATATCTCAGTTTGTGTACGTGTACAGATATATCATAAAATTGATAAAATTATCATAAAATGTTTTAGAAGTTATCCGTTAAAGTGGGGGCCACGGTAATTTGATAGTTCCCTTTTTTGTGAGTGAGTGAGGTTTTACACCGCTTTTAGCAATATTCCAGCAATATCACGGCGGTGTACACCAGAAATGGGCTTCACACATTGTACCCATGTCGGGAATCGAACCCGGGTCTTCGGCGTGACGGGGCGCTTTAACCACTAGGCTACCCGACCGCCCCCTTTTTCTGCCTAATGACGGCAGTTATCAATCTTATTGACAAACAAAGTCATAGTTAATTTGCATGCCTGCCTGTGTCGGTACGGCACTTTGTTTTGTTTGTTTGTTTGATTGTTTGTTTGTTGTTTAACGCCGAACTCAGCCATATTCCATCTATATGAAGGCGGTCTTTAAATAATCGTGTCTGGACCATACAATCAAGTGATTAATAGCATGAGCATCGATCCACGCAATTGGTATCGATGACATGCATCAACCAAATCTATGACTCGAGTGATCAATCAGGAGCCTCGAGAGTAAGCTGATGAAAAATGAGTCGGTGATGGCCAGTGCATTTATTTTACAAACTATAGTCATTTAGATGGACGACGGATGGCTCGATACCAGTAATACTAATTATTTGGTGGTCTCTGAAAACCCCCAGTTAATTTCCATCAAATTAGAACTATGTCCAATGATAAATGTTATTAAATATAAAGGTGTGCATATTCTTGTATATGATATCACATGACCTGTAGTGTCAGTCACCCCAACCTTTTCCCGTTTCAGGGTTATCGTTGATGGGGTTATAAATCATATGGCCGGGCTGGGGAGATCTGGAACAGGAACGGCAGGTAGCAGCTTCAACTCCGACAACCTGGACTTCCCTGGTGTACCATACAGGAGAGAGCATTTCAATGACCGCAGCACGTGTCCATCTGGTGACGGTAACGTCAACAACTATGGCGATCCCAATAATGTGAGAAACTGCTATCTCGTTGGCCTCACTGATTTGAATCAAGGCGTCGAGTACGTGAGGGACAAGATCTCTGGCTACTTCAATAACCTCATTGATATCGGAGTGTCTGGTTTTAGGATTGACGCTGCCAAACACATGTGGCCTGCTGACATCAGGTAGCTAACCATCAACCATCACTTGTATGTGTGATGTGTGAGGAAACTCTTTGTGTTGTGCGCTCTGCGCTAAAGTAGTTGATGTTATCTGGTTCAAGAACATTATGTGTAATATCTATATTTGGTTGGTTGGTTGGTTTGTTGTTAAACGCCGCATTCAGCAATATTCCAGCTATAAGACGGCGGTCTGTACATAATCGAGTATGGACCAGACAATCCAGTGATTTATATCATGAGCATTGATCCACACAATTGGGATCGATGACATGCATCCACCAAGTCAGCGAGCCTGACCACCCGATCCCGTTAGTTGCCTTTTACGACAAGCATAGTCACCTTTTACGGCAAGCATGGGTTGCTGAAGACCTAGTCTACCCCGGATCTTCACGGGTCGTTATATGTTTATAATAATGTTGGCATCGTACTGCTGATTACTGTTTTTAGGGATTTTACAGTGGGAGATAAATATACTCTCTTTATAAACAATTGGATGTATAGATTGGGAGGTTTACATGTGAATATTATGCATAAATTACTATTATTGCAGACTCAACTTCCCAAAATAATTTCTTATAGATATTAAATGTAATGAATATGCGCCATGATTTAGTAAGGGAATGAGTATTGCGCCGCTTTTAGCAATATTCCAGCAATATCAAGGCGGGGGGACACCAGAAATGGGCTTCACACATTGTACCCATGTCGGGAATCGAACCCTGGTCTTCGGCGTGACGAGCGAACGCTTTAACCACTAGGCTACCCGACCGCCATGATTTAACAACAGCATAAATTATAAAGTAATATTCATAAAGCATCGTCTTCCTACTTTAGAAAGGACATGGTGATATTGTGAACCCACAGCATGGTCCATTGACTGCTAACAAAATTTCTCATGCCCTCAAATTGAACATGATTGAAATTTAACAGTACCAATACGTATGTAAGTTCCTAAGACGGTTTAACTCTTATGCATAATAATCCATATTTGACAATTTTTCAAAAATTAGGATGAACTTAATGTGAAGTTTTCTGAGAAAACCTATGAAATGCTGGACTAATTCATAGATAACGTCTATACTACCCAAAGTGTACTAAGGATGAAATTTTGATGATATATGAAAAACATCCAATAAATAAGGAATGAAACATCCCGGTACACAATGATTGGGTAATCGCTATAGGACCTCGGTGTTTCAAAAGATGCACACAATTATACGTATTACCTTTTTGTACTACTAAGTGGTGATCCTTAGCAAACTTTGAGTAGTATATGTGTAATTTGGTGATGAGATAGGCAAAGGTATTCATCCCCGCGAGTACCAGGTGTGCTCCCCGTCTTTCTACATGCATGTGTCACTTGAAATCTTCAAGTTTATCAATGCACCGACATCATTCAAGTTTAGCAGAAAGCTGAGTCCCCTCTCCTGATTTACCCACGTTAGCTCGAGATAGAAGAGGCCAAGGAGAGCGCCTCATCTATTTCATATTGTTACCTATGTATAAGGAATCGGTGTGACAAAAACTACAAGACTGTATAACAAAGGGGATGACTTGATATGAGTTTTTCTCAAAAGTTGTTTGATCAGTGTTTCAACATCAAAAGCCTTCGTAAAGTTTTAAGAAAACGTTATATGGTAGACATATCTAAATCAAATACATCAGTGACCAAAAAAACCAATTCCCTGTTTTGTACCATATGTTGCCGATTTTTTTTGTCAGATCAACAATTAACACTTGGCATGGTGCAGGATAGGTCACCTTTTAGTGAACGTTTAGCCTGGTATCATAACCTTTTGATGGTGATTCATAAGCACATGCTTGTTATACAGTAGGAATCGTGCAATGGACTTTGCTATTGGCACAGATTTCCTATGACATTTACTTTGATGACCCATTTACTTTGTGTTTCAGCGCAATTCAGAAGCGGGTGAAGGATCTCCCTGAGGGAGGTAAAGCGTTTTGGGCCCATGAGGTGATTGACCAGAATGATGGCGCGATTAAGGTGGGAGAATACACTTCTTTGGGCTACGTGACTGAGATGAGATATTGTCAAAAAATAGCCCAAGGTGTACACAACTTTGGAGAGCTTGGCAATGTCGTTGACTATGGCTGGGGCATGACACCTTCAGCTAACGCCTTAGTCTTTGTTGATAATCACGACAATCAGAGAGGCCATGGTGGTGGGGGAAATCTCATCACCCACAAAACACCCAGGGATTACAAGATGGCTCAAGCGTTTACACTGGCCTATAATTATGGGTTTGTCCGAGTGATGAGTAGTTATTTCTTCGGAGATGACTCTGATGCTGGACCTCCTGACAAAGACGTTAGTATCAACGCAGATGGCTCCTGTGGTAATGGCTGGGTTTGTGAGCACAGGTGGGCCCCCATTGCCAACATGGTGGCGTTCAGGAACGCTGTAGCTGGCACTGGCATCGAACACTGGTTTGATAGTGGGGACGTCGTCGCCTTTGCCAGAGGTAACAAGGGCTTCTTTGCGATGGCGAAGCAAGGAAATCTGGATCAAACCTTCCAAACAGGGCTGCCAGCTGGAGAATACTGTGACATCATCCATGATTGCCAACAAAAGGTCACAGTGGATGGATCAGGAAACGCCCATATTCACATCAGCAACAACGAGGAACCAATAGTCGCCTTTATTGTTGGTGAGTTTTCGTATTTGTAAAGGAATCTGTGACTTTATGTGACAGGTGACAGGTGACATCAGCATATAGGAGTGCATTCAACTTCAAATAAGGTGAGGTGAATGTGGGTTTACGTCGACGAAATAGCGACGTGCGTGCATGCACGTGTGTGTGTGTGTGTGTGTGTGTGTGTGTGTGTGCTAGTCCGGACTAGTGCCGATTTATAGCGCTAGCTCACTGAGAGTTTAACATGAATACCCCACTCAGACACAGTATACTGACTCCGAGCCGAACAGTCATTGTTTCAGCCCCTTTATGCCGAGCGCCAGACAGGGTAACAACCAGTACCATCTTTAAACGACTTTTGGTATGACGCGGCCGGGGATCGAACCCCGGACCTTCCACTCTCCGGAGGCGGTCTACAAATAAAGTGCAATAGATTATTAGATAGGCCTCAATGTAATTGGACTGTATTGACATAGTTCATCTGTGTGTGTATCTATGCTGAATATATATAGCAGTCTTCTCAAAGGTGGTCCATCTGGCAGCACAGGAGGCGGAAACACTGGAGGGGGAACTCAAGCCCCCGTTACCTCAGGCCCCGTTGTGACACCCGACTATGGAAGTGGTAGTTGGAAACACACAGTGATATTGGTACAGAGGCAGACCACCCCAGGCCAGGATCTCTTCATCAGAGGAGGCATTGACCACGCCCACATGACAGGTGACATACTTCACATGACTTTTAACAATACTCACGCTCTGTTTACGTTGTTTTGTTCACTTACAAAGACGTACATGTATGGTTACTCGACCGAAACATTGATTAGATAACTATATACAAACAAATCATGTTTGCTTAAAAAGTGAGTGAGTGAGTGAGTATGGTTTTACGCCGCTTTTTGCAATATTCCAGAAATATCACGGCTTCAATATATGGGCTTCAAACATTGTACCCATGTCGGGATTCGAACCCGGATCTTCGGCGTGACGAGCGAACGCTTTAACCACTAGGCTACCCGACCGCCCCTTGCTTAAAAAGAGTTTGTATACAAAGTTTAACTCTTGTATCTGATCTTCATATTGGCTTTTATGTATTCTGTTCTATAAAGGATAGGGGGCACGGGTGGCCAAGTTGTGCAGCTGTGCAGAGCTGCGTCCCTTGGGCACGCCAGAAACCTGAGTGTGGGTTCGAATCCCAGTTCGCCCCGATTATGTTACCAGGTTTGTCAGAACTATACCCGTGCTCGTGGGTTTCACCGAAGTGGTAAACGTCTGAGACCTGCATCACTTCGGGCTCTCCTCCCACATTAAGCTGACACGCTGCGATATAACTGGAATACTGTTAAAAACTGCGTTAAATCCAACTCACTCACTCACTCACTCACTCATATTGACTTTTATGTATTCTGTTCTATAAAGGATAACCTGTTTTCACGCTGTGTTCAAGGATGCTCGTCTTCGGTGTCCGGGAATCCTTGTGCTATTCCGATCCGCCACAGGGACCTTGGTTCTGGCCCTCACTTCAGCAAATACAATGCATGGAGCTCAGGAGATAACTACTTGGACTGGTACGGAGCTGAGCCTGGGCAGGGGTCATCTGCCACTGGAACACCTGCACTGTGGACAACGAACACTGCTGGCAGACCAGAGTATAGCAAATACAATACGTAAGCATGGAATCCACTTTGTTCCATCAGAGCACCATTTTGTTATGAGGTGATTTTCAAATTGAAACCCAAACCCAGAAATCAGTACGTTCAGAACTAAATTGAGAAATCAGTTAATGACCACACCCGCGAATAATCAACACATAAGTTCAATCCGATAGTTTATTTCTGTTTACAATAAATAAAAATACAATGGGCCAAATATATGGCAGCAGGCATAAATAACAGCCCCTGAAATTATTGTCCAGTCACTAATGTTAAAAGGGGGGGGGGGGGGGGGGGGTGGGGGTGGGGCCCAATCGTCTAAAGCGCCGCGATTCGCTGTGCAGAGTTGCGTCCCTTGCGCACGTCAGGAACCTATGATTGTGGGTTCGAGTCCCGGTTCGCCCCGATTATGTTTCTAGGTTTGTCAGCACCATACCCGTGCTCGTGGGTTTCACCGAAGTGGTTAACGTCTGAGACCTGCATCACTTCGGGCTTTCCTCCCACATTAAGCTGACACGCCGTGATATAACTGGAATACTGTTAAACCCAACTCACTCACAATCTCACGTAGGCATCATCCCCCTAACAAATACCGAAACTTTTGTAACGATCAAGCATCCCGGGTCCGTTGAACAAATCAGGGACTGATAACTCTAAATGCCCGTACAAAACCATCTGGGAAGCCCCATTCACTGCTGTCCACATCTGTTCAAATCTTGCCCCTACAGCACATTTTTATCACATTTAAATATTTTGCTGCCACTTAAGATTACAACAAATCTGTTTATGCCAAAACCCCTTGCACACAACAATATCAGTTGTAACGTGTGCCTCTTGAATCCCTCAAGGGAGTTTCTATTTTGTAGGTGTGATCACAGGATAGCCTCACAAAAGTCGACATAACGTGTGTGTCTGATATGATTGTTTCACAGTTTCGGGGACCATTATTGGCTTGTGGACATTGACATGGATTGCTCAAAAACAAAAGATGGCTTTTTCGAGTTCAAGTCTGTAGTCAATGGCGGCTGGGAAGGCAACGTCGCTGGGGGATCCTGCAGTGGAGCTGGAGCTGCCACACCTCCCTATTCGAGTAAGAACCACTTTGGCAGGTGTGGTTATCTTAATGTCTTCCACTGGGGCAGCGGCAGCTGTTCTATCACGCAGCTTACCTAACCCAAGTGTTGTGTGAAGGATGGTGCAAACATATGCAGAAGATGATTGGATTGACTTATTTGAAATAAACGCCTATAAAAACAATATTTTTTATTTATCAATTTTACGTTCCCGCAAGTACGGACACACGCACGCATCATCAATACCTTTAGGCTGTGATTTTATCGAAAGACAATAATTAACCTCGAAAAAAATAATAAAAATTAAAGCAAATATATTTTGCATCAAGCTCAAGCATGAAGAAGATGTTTACAAATTTTCATGGGGTCGATTTCTTTTGATCGAAGCTGAAAATCATCTTCCCATCAAAGTGAATCCCTCTGCCATTTCAAACGCTATTCATTGTGGTGAGGTAAAAAATGTGACCCAACTTCATTCCGGCTCCCTCCTTGTGGAGTGTGAAGAAACAACAATCTCTCAGTCTGTTATCAGTTAGACAGTTTGCCAATGTTGAGGTTGTTGTTTCTGAACACACTACACTAAACTCCTGCCAAGGCATTGTACGTGACAGGACCCGTTCCTTATCAGACATGTCTGAACAAGAAATCGCTGCAGAGTTAAAAAATGTTTCGCCCACAGAAAGGAGGATTTAACTATTGAACCAACACATACATGTTTACATTTGCTAGATCTTCTATCCTCAATCAATCAAAGCCGGATTTGTCAACATCGAAGTTAAGGTGTATGTCCCCAATCCACTCTGATGGTTGAGATGTCAACATTTTGGCCAAATCCTATGACCGATCTGTGGTTTGTAAACGCTGTGGGGACAACCATGAGAATACTGATTGCCAACATGCCCCCAATATTTACAAACTGTGCTGGCCTCATCTAAAGTTTGCCCTATTTGGTAAAACGAATAAAAATAATAAAGCAAAGTGCGAAAAACCATCACTTTTGGAGAAGCTATAAAACTATTTTATTCTCAGTAGGAGTGATCTCTTCCCTTCTTTACTAAAAGCTATGACAACGGATGATAACCCCATTTCGTCATGCTTGAATTTAACAAAGGCAAATTTGCCCTCCGATGAAATACTATGTGCTAAAAAATGTACCAGATCCCATCCAGTTGTATTCAGATCAACGCAATAATATTGCTGACCAGACAATGCAAAGGTATACTGCACATCCTCATATTCGTAAACCATGGTTTAATAACGACAGTAACCAAGCAAGAAAGTGGGGGAAGAAGGCGGAAAAAATATTTTTGCAAACATCCTGCTGTTCATAATTTCAATAATGGTAAAGTTACTATTACCAATGCTCGACGTGCTTATTAACGAAATATGCGCCAATCTTGGAGGAACTTTGTCTCATAAATTAATTCACAAACACATGTGAACATTGTGTTAAAAATAAAAGGCAAAGGTTCCAAATCCGTAAAAGGCGACTATGCTAGTCGTAAGGGGAGACTAACTGGATCGAGTGGTAAGGCTCGCTGACTTGGTTGATGCATGTTATCGTATCCCAATTGCATGTATCAATGTTCATGATATCAACCACTGATATGTCTGGTCAAGACTCGATTATTTTTACAAACTGCCGTCGTACCTGGAATGTTGCTTAGTGCGGCGTTAAACAACAAACAAAATCTTCTGTACACCATCTTAAAGAAGGTTACAAATTAACTGAATCTGATATTTCAAATAATAAAAGCGAAACTTGCCAAACATTCTTCATCGTCAAATTAAGTCTCTGAGTTTCAGAAATATCGGGGGAAAACAGGAAAAGAACAATAGTTAATTTTGATTCTCATAACGGTGAAGATTACAACAAAATATTTTAATTACATGAGCTACGACCCGAGAAGATGCGGGGTAGAATAGGTCTTTAGCAACCCATGCTTGCCGTAAAAGGCGACTGTGCTTGTCGTAAAAGGCAACTAACGGGATCGGGTGGTCAGGCTCGCTGACTTGGTTGATGCATGTCATCGATCCCAATTGCGTGGACACGACAAGCATACGCAGACATGTGGATCTAGATGAAACTGAAAATTATCTCGTGGATAGGATTACTGGGCCCGATTTGTTGTGATCGAGTCAGCTGGTAAACAACCTTTAAAGCTTAACCCTTTCGCCATTTCAAAAGCTGTTTCAGGAATTTGCAGAGAAGTTAATAATGTGACACGTCTTCGGTGTGGCTCTTTTCTTGTTGAGTGTTCACGGAGACAGCAATCTCTCAATATGCTATCTTTAACTACATTTGCAAATATTGTATCCGCGCACAAAACCTTAATTTTTTGCCTAGGCATTTGCTCGACACAGCTCGTTGCCTGTCCGACATGTTGGAGCAAAAAATTACAGATGAATTGACAACTCAAACAGTTAAGCGTTTCACTATGAAATCTAGAGACAGTGACATCATCCCGTCAAACACTTATATGCTTACATTTGCAATTTCGGCCCTTCCTAAGTCTATAAAAGCTGGTTATCTCAACATCCACTCCAATGTTTCAAGTGCCAAACTTTTGGACATGGATCTTAATCTTGTGATCACTCTGCAGTCTGTCAGTGCTGTGGTGACAACAACGACTGCACAGCAAAAATAAATGTCCAAACTGCAAAGGGCAACAACTGGCTTTATCAAGGTTATGTCCAGAATATCAAAAACAATAAAAAATCTTGAAGCTCAAACACGAAAAAAATTTCTCGTTGAAGAAGCTCATTGAAAATCAGTCTCCACAAACTCCACTAACCAGAACCTATTCTGCTCCTGTGGCTATCTCTGCTCCTCCAACTCCTCCAACAGTATCAATTTCTATCCAGACAGATTTGGCATTGATTACATGGGATCAACCGGTTGGCATACGTTCTGTACTAACTTCAAACACGTCTTCGGCTAAAACAATAAGCCGGTCTGAACCTTTGACTGATGAATCTGATGTAGAGTCTTCTACTAAAGAGCCAGAGGCTGTAGAACCAGCTACTATTGAATCTGCCGTTGTTACTCTAACTAGAAAAGAAAGGACAAAACTAAATGGAAAAAAGACTACCAGGAAATGCCCGTCGTAAGAGATGTTTCTCCACCACTGCTTTGATGCTCTTGACATGGACGTAATCCCACCGTCCCAGAGCAATGGTATGAGTCCATCTTCCTCACGTGCACGTGAGAGATTCCCAATAGAACCACCATGACTCAATCTCCTAAATTAATTCAGAGGAATTGCAGAAGACTAATTATTAGCTCAAGATTATTAACTATCAGCGTTTAGTTTACAAGAAACCTGTCTTAAGCATTCTGATAAATTTGAATTGCGTCAGAACAATTCTTATTCTTTTTTACCTCCAGGTGGTAAAGCCTCTGGCGGTGCTTCCATTTTGGTATCAAAGGGCATCACAGTCCTGTTCCTCTTCACCATATGTACTGACAAATTGCAACAAGACTTTTGTATGGATGTTCCTGGCCCGATGTAATTGTTCTCTGACAAACTGATGCATATAGCTGATGAAACTATTCCTAAGTCCTCTGTGAACCCACATATTCGGAAACCATGGTTTACTGACGAGTGCAAACAAGCTAGGAAGTGTAGGATGAAGGCAGAGAAATATTTTCGGCGCCACCCTACCGTTCATAATTTGAATAATGTAAAAATCTATTATGCCAAGGCTCGACAAACATTTAGACACAATCAACGTCAGACTTGGAAAAATTATTTTTCCAAAATACATTCACGCACACCTCTGTCACAGGTATGGAACATCATCCATAAATTGTTTGCAGTCTCGTGCAATATCTCACAGAGTGCATGAAACAAAATGCTGTGTTAAATGGCGAAGTGTTGTATCAGCGCTGTCTTGTTGTTCTCAGTAACATAATTACATTACCTGATAACATAACTGCATATGTTAATTCAAAAAGTATCCTGTAACAATTTGACACACAAGAATTATATTATAGCGGAATACAATGCATACTGAATATTCAAAGTGATAACAGCGTCGGAATGTGGCATGGAATACAACGCTCCACAAAACATTTTACAATGGGGTTTGTCGTTTAATTCACTTCAGTGTACCGATTCACCAGCCCGGCATGGCAAGGAACTATCTGAAAATATTTAAAAAAACGGAACACGGTTCTCTTAGACATATGCTTTATACCATTTTTATATAATTTTATCAGTACAGCGATATGTTTATCTATGACATTGCATATTTACAGCTGTGTCAAAATATAGTGCCAATGTGAAAAAGCACATGTGGACTGTAAATGCAACTTTAGTGCAAGTAGGCGATGATCCAAGTTTTTATTGTATTTGTATTTCAAAACAATATTGTCTAATTGTGACTCTTGTGAAGGACCTGCAGAGAAGAAGACTTTTTCGAGTATTATACACGTTTTTTATACATATTCACTGACACTATTTCACTCAGTGTTAGTAGAATCATTCTCTCTGGTATCCATATAACAGTTTCAAGGGGTTTACCAATATAAGAAAATATTTATTGGACAAATGTTTACAAATATAATTAGCATTCATCAGTTTCAACTAATTCAAACACAAGTGAGTGAGTGAGTTAAAATTTAACGTCGCGTCGGCATTATTTCAGTATACTCGCGACGAGAATAAGTTCATATATACACTATACACAAGTTCAAACGTAACAATGTAACCCTTGTGGTAATAAACATTTTGTTTGTTTATTTGTTGTTTAACGCCGCACTCGGCAATACTCTAGCTATATGATGGCGGTCTGTAAATAATTGAGCCTGGACCAGAAAATTCAGTGATTGGCACCTTGAGCATCGATCCACGCAATTGGTACACGATGACATGCATCAAGCAAGTCAGCGAGCCTGATCACCCGATCACGTTAGTGCCTCTTACGACAAGCATAGTCGCATATTACGTCAAGCATGGGTTGCTGAAGACCTATTCTACCCCGGATCTTCACAGGTCCAGTAATAAATAATGTCTCTCTTGTTTGGATAATCTTGGACGCGACGTTAAACCCAATTTCACCTCACCTCACCTTGTTTGGTGTTTATGTCAGCATGGCACATTGCAAACTTGAGTGGCACCGAGAGTCACACTGCAGCTTAGCCATGGAACAACTACATGTACACTTGTTGGTCTGGCATGT